TTCAAATATTTAAAAAAAAAAATGTTGAATTAAAGGGTTAGGGAGAGTCATTTTAACTCAGAGCAACATTAACCAAACATAGCAGCTATTTCTAAGGCATAATTTATATCTTCAATGTATTTTGTTTTCTTCGATATTCAAATTAAAATGAATATGTTGGTACACTGGTAATCCCAGCACTCAGAAGTCTGAGGCAGGAGGATCACAGTTTGTGCTGCGTAGTGAGTTCCAGGCCAATATGGCTATATACCTTGCCTTAAAAAGTGTGTGTGTATGTGTGTGTGTGAGTGTACACACATATATGTATATATAAGGTGAATTAACTAGTTTCTTTTTCTTTCTCTCCCTTTTCAGAGAAGAAATATTACCTGAAAATGAGACCACTAGATTTTTCTTTTTCTCTAAAAATGATAAAAGACTTCATGGTAAGTACATTTTTCCATTAAAATAGATAGCATTCTTTGTTTTATATGGTCCAATAATTCACAGCTGAAAATTCTGATCCTTTGTAATGTTGTATGGTTTGGCCCCCATGTTACTTTCATACTAGTGTATATTAACTTGTAAAGCTCCTGGAGACTCAAGAGCTCCTTAGTTACCAAATTCTCTGCTCATTCATTATCCTCAACAAGGGCCTCTTTTGTTAATAAGAACCTGCTTAGATGCGAACATATAAAACTTGTAAGTTTTTCAGTACTCTAAAAGTTCACATAAAAATTGAGGCTGATAGTGAATTCTTTGCTTCTTAAAGCTTAGAATACACAAAAAGACATAATGTAATTGTAATGATCTATAAACAGTAAAAGTTCTAGTAAATTTTTCATTTTGAATGAAACATTGTTTAAAGTTTGGCCAGGTGCCAGTGACACCTGTAATCCTAGCTACTCAGGAGGCTGAGATCTGAGGATTGCTGTTCAAAACCAGCCTGGGCAGGAAAGTCTGTAAGACTTATTATCTCCAAGTAAGCATCAGAAAACTAGAAGTCACACTCTAGCTCAAAGTTTTGCAGAAATTTGTTTAAATGGTTTTGACTAGAATTGAAGATCTCGGTAATGCCAACCCAAGAATGTTTTCCATTTCTATAATAACAGGCTACCTCATGTTACTTTTTTTTTTTCCCTTATAGGTTCTGACTTATTCTGGAGAGGTGTGGGAAATAGTATGAGCAAGAATGCTTGGGAAGCCCGAACAAATAGTCTACTAATGGTAAGTAATTGTTTCCCTCATGATTGTCTCTTCCAGTAAATAAGGTGCTGTTTTTGTGTTGAAATTTCCCTGGTTTAAGAATAGCAGAAAGAGGTGGCACTGTGGCTCAAGTGGTAGAGCGCTCCCCTTGAGCTGAATTGCTGAGGGACAGCATCCAGGCCTAGAGTTCAAGCCCCACAACCAACAAAAACAAACAAACAAACAAAAAAGAAACCTTGAAAAAAAGAATAGCTGGAATAAGAGATGAAGGTTTAGAAAGGATACAACTGAGAACTTGATTTAAACTCTCATGATTCTAGTACTGGAAGGAATTACGGTATTTTTTTAATTAAACCTATGACTGTTGCAGGTGAGGAAACAGACTTGCTTGTTGGGTGACTGTTCCCAGAATGTAGCAGGACTAACAGGAAGACATCAGGAGGTTTTCAAAGACTGAATTATGTCTCCTAAACATGTACAGCCAAATGTTTGAATGGTCCCTGTTATTCCAGTGAGCATTTCCAAAATGGGTTTGACAACCCTGGCAATAATAGTGATCAAAATTTTACTTTGTAATTATTGAACACCTTGAGAACAATTAGTATTTATTAATAGAGGTTTTTGATTTTATGATTTTTCTAGGATTGTCGGAAGAAACATAAAGAAGCCAAAAGGAAAGCAAAACCAAAATAATAAATGTTGACCTTGGTTTTAACACTGAATATGAAGAAGACTTTCAGAAGAAAATTGAGCCAGAAAATGAACTGACAAGAAATTTCAGAGAAGAATATGCAAAGTCTGGCTGATGAAACATCATTCTAGTTATGGGCTATTTTTATATGGAATTTCTCTGTATTTCTTCCTAGAAGGCTACTAGAAAAAAATGGAGCTGGGTGGTGTGGTAGTGCACACCTATAGCACAAGCATTCAGGATGTCAAAGTGGGAAGATAATTTGAATCTAGAAGTTTTTGACCAGCCTGTTCAAACTATCAAAAAAATTTTTTTGAACTTTTGCAAGATGAGGTACAAGATACTCCTCAGTGCTTCTTGTTACCTTCCATCCTAAATAACTAATGGACTTTTCTTTTGTCTGTTGTGTGGCTTGAACAAAGGGTCTGGGCACTATCCCTGAGCTCTTTTGCTCAAGACTGGCACTCTACCACTTTAAGCCATACCGTCACTTCTGGTTTTCTGTTGGTTAATTGGAAATAAGAGTCTCAAGGACTTTCCTGCCCAGGCTGGCTTTGAACAGCAATCCTCAGATCCCAACCTCTTGAGTAGCCAGGATTACAGGCATGAGCCACCAACTCCCAGCTTAATGGGCATCCTTTGATAAGTTTACATGAAGACTATTTTAAATAAATGGTTTGGTATACTTAATTTTCCAAATTAGTCTTTGTGTGAATTATAGACTATTTGAAATATTTATATCTAATTTACTAAATATTTTGCACTTCCATTTTGTTGTTTGCATATAAAGGGATCAATTAACAGTCAACTTTAAGCCTAGCACTGGTGGTTTATGCCTGTAATCCTAGCTAATCAAGAGGCTGTTGTCTAAGGATCATAATTGGAAGCCAGCCCAACAGCAAAGTTCAAGAGATTCTTATCTCCATTTAACCACTAAAAGCCAAAAGTGGACTGTGGTTCAAGTGGTGAGCAGTAGCTTTGAACACAAGCGCTCTGGGACAGCGCCCAAGCTCAGAGTTTAAGCCTCAGGACCAGTTAAAAAAAAAAAAAAGAAGAAGTCTACGCTTGTGTTCTGATAGTGACTTATATGTAGGAATATTTCAGCCCATCGTAAGAAGCTGTGAGAAACAATGGGAGCTGGTAGCTCACACCTGTAATACTAGTTACTGAGGATCCCAGTTCAAAGCCCACAGGGGCAGGAAAATCCCATAAGACTCTTATCTCTAATTAACCACCAGAAAACCAGAAGCGGTGCTGTGGCTCAAAGTGGTAAAGCTCTAGTCTTGAGTAAAAAGAGTTTAAGGGCACCGAAGCCCAGTTCAAGCCCCAGAATTGACTGACCCCCCCCCCAAAAAAAAATGTGAGACAAAGGAAGCCAAATACATAGTTTTCCTCATCTCGGCCTCAGTTAATTGGAGAGCGACTTATAGAAGCAGGTACATCAGGCCCAAAGTTCTACCTTGGCAACAGGCATATGGAAATTAACCTGAAATATGTAGCCAACAGGAGTCAGATTTCTAGTCCATACAGTGAAACTAGTTTAATATTTCACTAAATAAACCTGACTAGGATTGAAGACTGATAGGCCTCTATACATGATACGCAATTATGGGTATATCTGAAATTATCTTAGTATTCATTGATTTATTGAATACAAACTATGAGGGTTGGAATCCTCTGGGTTTTTAACATGTTTCTATTTCTTAAATGTGTGTGGCACACAGATGCTCAGTTTGTATATTTGTTAATAAATAAGAGTGCAAGGAACTAAGTAGCTTCAAAAGTCCTTTTGGATTCAAGACTTCGGATTTCAAGGCAAATGGGAATAACTCCTTGGCAAAATAAATACTTTCAATGTTGTCCCTTTTCTATAGAAATCCTATTTATATCTTCTTACCTATTGCATCATAGCAAACCATCCAAGTAACATTTATTTTGCTCATAAACCTGCTGTTTGGTCAAAACTTTTGCATTATTCCCTGCATGTTTTGTGATTGGAATAGTTCAGGTGGGCACTAAGCATCTACTTTTGGATGTCCATCAAGGGCTTCTAAAACATGGCAATTTGAATCCAAGGGTAAATGTTCCCAGAGGCAGGACAGATATTGCCAAACTCCAGAACCAGCTCACTCACTTCAGTATTCTATAGATCAAAACACATATAGCCTTTTTTTCCTCAGTGGGAGTGAAAGTCTGTGACCATATTTAAGTCTCACATGCTTTATCTACAAAGCAATAGATGACATCAAGATGCCTCCCCTACCCCTTGTTATCTAGATACAACCACATTCAAAGATACTGTTTCCTCTGATAGTAACCTCCATTATTTTTGCCTGTTTTACTCATGCTCAGATTTCTTGGATGTTTTGTTTTTAATTTTGTCTTTGGAGGTGATGGAATCAAATCCATGTCCTTGTGTAGGCTAGACAAGTTCTCAAATCACTGAGCTGCATGCCTCATCAAATAGGAAGGCTTGTTACTCTGGAAAAATGATTCAGGTCTTTGATCCATGTGGTATGTTTGATCACAATAACTTTTTCTTACGATTTTATTACTTGTTAAAATATTTTGTCTAGAGATTGTCACTCAATACCTTGCAACATACTATAAAATATTTCTCAACCCAATATTTAGGCAAGTTTTTTTGTTTCTAATGGTAGAGATTGAACTAAAGATCTAGTGTTCCCAGTCATTTTGCAGTTTGATTTTGAGTCTTGCTTTTTTTTTTTTTACCAAGGCAATCTCTGATTTTGATGTTCCTCCCTCTGTAACCTGGAGTTATAGACATGTGCTACTACTAGTTTCTGGAATGTAACTTCTGCCATGGGTGAGGGATCACTGTAAAAGAATAAAATATAGCAGGGCGCTGGTGGCTCACGCCTGTAATCCTAGCTACTCGGGAGGCTGAGATCTGAGGATCGCAGTTCAAAGCCAGCCCGGGCAGGAGAGACCATGAGACTCCTATCTCCAATAAACCACCAGAAAACCAGAAGTGGCGCTGTAGCTCAAGTGGTAGAGCACTCGCCTTGAGCTGAAGAGCTGAGGGACAGCGCCCAGGCCCAGAGTTCAAGCCCCCAACCGACAAAAAAAAAAAAAAAGAGTAAAATATAATGAAGGACATATGCTTGCCTAATGCTAATAATGTACACTTTTACAATCTTATAAAGCAAAATACATAACTTGAACCAGATGTTGAAATGATTAGGATTAGTATAAAAAATACTTCAGCATATAGTATAAAAATGTAACGGATATGTTGTAGGGAGCTCCCTATGCAAATATTTCTCAAAATACTACAATGAAAATATATTAATGATCTTAATATGTATTTTACAGTTCCACAGGAGAAGCAATTCAGAATAGTAAATACCTCTAGTTATAAAGGAAGAGTTTTGGCTTTACCAATTACTGGGTATTCAGCCTTGTATGTTTTCATATGATTCATTTTGGGAAACAAAAACAAGCCACCTTAGAAAGTAGAAAAAAACACTTATGTATTAATAGTTTCTAAACAGCTGAAGAACTTTACACCAAATAGACGAAAATAAAAGCACAGAAAACTTACACAAAAACTAATATAGATCTCCTAGAAAATAAGCCAAATGGACTTGAAGACCTAGTGAATAGGAAGCAAAGTAAATCCTCCTAGAGCATAAATAGAAACCAAGATGTTTTTCTTTATGATCTTTATGACTTGCTTCCAGTCTGGGCTCAGAGAAAGATCCGGGTCACTTGAACTGGTTGTCAATCAGTGTCCCTTTCATTTTCGCTTTCTTGGCTTCCAGTTCCGCCAGCTCTTGCAGCCGCCTCTTGCTCATACCTTTGCGCTCCAACTGTTTTTCAATCACTTTGGCATTTTGTGCATAGGAGTCAGCAACTTCCCTAGCCTCAATCTCTTCTTCCTCTTCATCAATGGTGGACACAGTAACAGAGCTGAACTTACCCATGTCTTTAGTCCTCTTGGTCATCATCACCTTCTTAGGAGGCTCTTGTTTCTGAGTATATATATTCGTTTTCCCAAAACCCTGGCCGAACTTCACTACTGCTCCATCCACAATGAAGGTCACAGGAGCATTCTTCGGTTGGGACTGGTAAAAGAGCGGTAGTCCACACTTTGCACACTTCTTCCTGTACTGTCGTTCGATACCTTCAGGTCTGCGAAGGTAGGTAGTCTCCTCATCTTCCGTGTTACAAAACTTGTGGGCATGTTTGGCAGCATCAATCACACGAGATCGGTCCCGGGGCCTCATGGGTAATTTCTCTAACTGACAATCTAGCACCAGGACCATCTGGCCGCACAAACAGTAGTAGACATGGAGGGGCTTCTCACCATCATCATATTCCTCTCGGTCCCGGGTGTCTGAGCAGACGACCGACCGGGACACTACTTTCGGCATAGTTCTGAAGAGATCTCTGAGTGATTAATAGATCTCTAAGAGAGATTTTTGCTTAAGGCTAGCATTCTCTACTTGAGCCACAGCTCCACTTCTGGCTTTTTTGACTGGAGATGAGTTTCTCAAGGACTTTCCTTCCTGGGCTGACTTCAAAACACAATCCACAGCTTCAGATTTCAGATCTCCTGAATAGATAAGATTTACAGGCATGAGCTACCAGCACCCAGCTATTTTATTGTTTGAGGAGTGTGTTAGTTCAGGCACTCAGCTTTTTTGTTCAAGGGCAAGCACTCTACCACTTGAGTAACACTTCCCCTTTAAGCTTTTTTTTCCCGGTTAATTAAAGGGGAAAGTCTCTTGGATTGTTCTGCTGGGGCTAACTTCAACCAGCTTCCTCAGAATTAAGGATTACAGGCTTGAAGCCACCAAAGCCCAGGCATACTGAGGTGGTGTGTTTTTTGTTTTGTGCAAGTCCTGGGGCTTGAATTCAGCACCTAAGTGCTGTCCCTGAGCTTTTAGCTAAAGACTAACACTCTGCTACTTGAACCACAACACCTCTCCCGGCTTTTTGGTGGTTAATGGGAGATAAGAGTCTCATGGACTTTCCAGACAGGGCTGGCTGTGAATCGCTGTCCTCAGATCTCAGCTTCCAGAGTAGCTAGGATTACTGGTGTGAGCCACCCACTTCTTACCAAGATTTTGAATTCAGAACCGTATGGCTTTCTACAGCAGACACTTATGCCACTTGAGCGCTGTGGTAAGCATTTTAAAGTACAATTTTTTTTAATTGTCTAGCTAATTGTTAGGCCCTTCTTTCTCTTTGGCCTGTGGTAACAGGGGAAGCAGCCTCTGAATTAGTTGCACAGGCCCCACAATGTAATTAAAATCGTTGTTAGCTGTATTAAATTACATTTTAGTTGTGATTTACAAGTGAAATGTACAGACCTTAAATATCCTATTAGGTAAATGCTGACACAAGAAGAAGAGGCCCAGGACCGGGGAAGGAGATCACGGGAACCCAGAGTCTTGGCGCGCGGGGTCCGGCCGGCTCCGCCCGCCCCGCCCAGCCCAACCATCCCCGAGTCCCTCTGCCAGTCTCTTCCCGGAAAGAACCGGGATCCCAGCCCGCACAACAGTTCAGGGTTCGGACGGTGGGCGTGGTCAGACTCCACGCAGCCAATTGCCACCCAGGTTGTTGGTGCGTGCTAGACCGCTCATGATGATTGGTCTCCGTGGGGCCAGCACGCCGGGCTGTCAGGGCGTTGCATCAGTTCGGGCAAGCGCGTTGCAGCGTGGTCGCGGCTCTTCTAGGCTGACGGGCCGAGGCCATCAGGTAAACTTCGCCCCTTGCGGGGCTCCGGGTCCCTCAGATTCACCTGCCTTTACATTATTAGCGTCTGTGTTCTTCTAAAACGGAGATGAGAAGAGATTGTAGAAAGACCTTCAGAAGTAGGAGTGCAAGGAGTGTAACCCGCCGAAGTTCCTCAGCAGTCTCGGGGGCGGGGAGGGGGGGTCTTGAGCTCGCTGCTTTGCGAGCATTCGGGGTGATTTGGCACCCTGGAGATACTCAAGCTCCACTTCCTGTCTTTTGTTCCCGAGACCTTGCATGTACTGCTGCCCAAGCTTGCATCCCTATCCTGGGCTCTCAGAGTCCCCGCTGCAAGCCTGGCTGGGAACACGGGGGAGAAAGGCAGCTTTCAATGGGAGGAGCTGGGAAGCGTGGAGCTCCACGTCTGGAGCTGCCTGGGGGCTTGAAGAAGGGCAGACCATCCCTAAAGTACTGTAGGATTTGAAAGTACCCATCCCCTTGGTTCAGAAAATAGGGAGTCGCTATTACTACTGGATTTGAGATACAATGGGATGTGGCCCTTAGATTTTCCAGCCTCATCTGTAGTTTTCTTTTTAGAGGAGGTATTGAAATGAGTAAGAGTATTTTGAAAATGATATATAAGTGTGTGTATCTGAGACTTCTATTTATATGTACGCGTATGTGTGTGAGATGTGTACAGTCACTCCTACACACAAATTTTGCATTTAGGGACTCAACCAGCATGTGATTTGGGACTGAGTTAGGTCTATGAAAGTTGCATCTGTAGTAGACATGTTCAAATTATCTTTTTCTGGTTATTCCTTAATAGGGGATAACAGCAGTTTACATACCACTTCAACTATATTAGGTATTACAAGTAATCTGAAAATAATCTAAAGGATATGATATTATACATGTAAGTTATATACACTGTTATATATAAAGGACTTGAACATCTTTTGATTTTGGTATCTCTAGGGGTCCTGGAAATAAACTCCCATTAACACTTAGGGATGTGGAGAAAGTTGTTTGGTTTAGCTTTTAAACAGTGCTGGAGATTGAACCCAGATTTGTGCACATGCTAGTCAAGCACTCTACCAGTGATTTACCACCCCAGCCTAGGCCAACTATTATACCAATTTGGGGTTTTTTTTTGTTTTGTTTTTTTGGTTGTAGGGCTTGAACTCTGGGCCTGGGCGCTGTCCCTGCGCTCTTCAGCTCAAGAGGGGCACTCTCCTTCTTGAGCCACAGCGCCACTTCCAGTTTTCTAGTGGTTTACTGGAGATCAGACTCTCACAGACATTTCTGCCAGGGCTGGCTTTGAACTGCAATCCTCAGATCTCTGCCTCCTGAGTAGCAAGGATTACAGGCGTGAGCCACTGGCGCCCAGCTTCTATTTGTTATTTTTATTGGCTGCATGATATCCAGTCTTGATGCACCATAGTTTAGTCATCTTGAATTTTTAGTCATCTTGAATATTTTCACTTATTTGCCTATAGAATTGTTCCTGTGTACCAACCTAAATAAAGAGAGGGAGATTCTCCAAAGGTATCTATTTGGGAATAGAAAAGTACTGCAATGAGAATATTCATGTCATTGTATAACATGATCATATTCCAGGCAAACAGGGAGAAATTTGTATAAGCTACTTAGATAGATTCCATTGGTCTTGGAGACTTGAGGATAAGGTTGGTATTAGCTCATTTGTGAAGGTACCATTCTTTGGCACATATTCTATTTAGATCATTGTATGATGATTGGGCAGATGGTGTAGACCTGTATTCCCATCTACTAGGGAGGCAGAGGTGGAAGGAAGGATTATGGTCCAAGTCTTGACTTGAACAAAAGCACTAGATCTTACCTAAAAAGGCTGGGGACATGGCACTGGTAGAAGACTGCCCTTTCTCCCCTCCCCCCCCAAAAAAAACATATTTATCTGATTTATTGATTTATTGATTTGATGGGGTTTGTTTGGTATTGTGGATTAAATCAGGACCTTCACCTCCTCTTTTTTTTTTTTTTTTTTGTGGCCAGTCCTGGGGCCTGTAATCATGGCCTGGGCCCTGTCTTTGAGTTTCAGTGCTCAAGTCTGGCACTCTGCCACTTGAGCCACAGCTCCACTTCTGGCTTTTTCTGAATAGTTTATTGGAGATAAGAATCTCTCAGACCGATCCTTTTCCTGTTCATAAGTGTGATGATTGGGTTCTCACGCACTTGCGTGATATGTGCCTTCCTCTAAACCTTGTTACAAGGTGGGCACATTACCCATCTGACGTAAAAAAAAAAAAAAAGAATCAGACTTTCCTGCCAGGGCTGGCTTCAAACTGTGATCTTTAGATCTGAGATTCCTTTAGTAGCTAGGATTACAGGCATGAGCCACCACCAGCACCTGGCTATACATTTCTTCTTTTGAACCTTTAGAAGGGCATTGGTATAGCAGGTATGAGCCCTCTCCCTTTGTAACTTTTCACCCCTAATTTTATCTGGGTGTCTCCAGAATGATTTCATCTTGGCATCACTTTTCACATATGAATATCTTTGTATAAAGATTTTGTGCTTTTTACTGGTATGTCTATAGCATAAATGTTAATAGGATATTAATGGAAAAGACCTAAGATGGACCTACCGTTGGTGTGAAATTTGACATATTGTAATAAGGTATGAAGATCTAGGAGTTCAAAAGGGAAACTGAGAAAGAATCCTAGAGGTAGAATCCAGGAGTTGCTGATTAATTGGATGTGGGGATCATTTGGTGACTGAAATGTCTTGCTTATCTAATAGAAGAGTAGTGGAAACATTTAAGTAGAGTTAAAAGGATACCACCCTTCCTCCCTCCAAAAGCAAAAACAAACAATACCACCAATAACAGAGAGAAATCAATAAAGCAAGTGAGCTCCTGAGATTTTTTGAGGGGGATTTTTTTTTTTTTTTGCCAGTCCTGCAGTTTGAACATAAGGCCTGGGTACTGTCCCTGAGCTTCTTTTGCTCAAGGCTAGCACTCTACCACTTGAGCCGCAGCACCATTTCTGGTCTTTTCTGTTTATGTGGTACTGAGGAATTAAACCCAAGGCTTTGTGCATACTAGGAGGCAAGCACTCTACCACTAAGCCACATTCCCAGTCCCTTCTTTCTGTCTCAGCCTCCTGACTGCTGGTATGTCAGGCATGTGATGCTGTACCCAACAAAAGCTTTGAGAGTTTTAGACAAGACATTGAGGCTAAAGTAGCCTGATAGTGTTGTGGAACTGGGAAGAGTAGAGAGGTGGATTGTAGTGAGAGGAAAGGAGAGAAACAAGTAATGGCTCAAGTGGCAGAGCACATGGAGACACTGGGTTCATTCCCTGGTACCAGTGGGGGGCAGAGGAGAGGGAATGAGGGATGAGATCCTTATGAATAACTTGGCAAATTGCCCTCACCCCACTTAGCTACTACCCCTACCCATCGCCCTGTGGTTGCTGGATACTGTTGTGCAGGTACAGCTTTCCAGTGGATACAATGGGCTAGAGCAATCCTGTGATTTATGCATGGCAGCTGTTTGTCCTCAGCAGCTGCCATAGCCCGGTCATTGGTACAAGGTTTTTTCCAATTGCATATAATCATCCAATCTGATATTGTAATGCTGAAAGCAGGGTTTTTTTTTATACCCCAGGCTCGAAGTCCAAGAGTCTCACATTAAGTCTGGCCACTTACCCCATATGCCAAAGAAAAAGATACCGTGAAAGACAGAGAAAGGAGATTTATAACATAGCAGCTATGGGAAAACAACACTTCAGGGCATCTTCAGTCATCTACATTGGTATAGACATTGGCCTTGTTAGGAAAATGGAAGAGAATGGGAAAGGAATAGATCAGACTCAGTCGTCAACAGGCTAGGACTGTTTATTGTCGGTGAGGGGCATGGACCTTCCCGCAGGTATGGAGGTTGTACAAGGTATTGGATTTGGGGTCTGGTTTATGTGGGTCTTAACAAGGAACCAAAAAGAGTTAGATCAGGAAGCTAGGGGTGGGTACTTTGAGTTAGGTCCAGAGTGGAATGTCCAGCCTGGGGTAATGGGGACTTTTGGCTGAGCCCAGGTTGGAGTGGCCTGCCTGTGGGCAAGCAGGTTAGCACACACCTGATGTTTTGCTTGACCTGGGGGATTAAGGTGGGAGTCAGTACTTCATAGTCCATCTTTAGGTATATAAAAAGATTGGGCTGAGAGGGGAGAGGCAAATGCTTCATGTAGGATCCTTGGATACATGAAAAGATTGGGCTGAGAGGGGAGAGCAAGTCTTTCATATATCATATAATTGTCAGTACAGTGTGAGAGTAGTGGTGCTCAGTCTTTGATCTGCATGCTAATTCCCTAGGGATCTTGTTAAAAACCCAGATTCTGGCTGGGAATGTGAGTTTACTAGTAGAGTGCTTGCCTACCATGCATGAAGCCCTGAGTTCAATTCCTCAGTACTACATAAACAGAAAAGGCCAGAAGTGGCACTGTGGCTCAGGTGGTAGATGCTAGCTTTGAGCAAAAGAAGCTCAGGGACAGTTCCCAGGCCCTGAGTTCAAGCCCTAGGACTGGTGTGTACACACATATATACAAACACACATCCAGGTTCTAACTGCTTGGTTTCAGTTGGGGCTGTTGATGTGCAACTCTAATAAGGTCCATAAAAAGGGTCATCATACAAGCAGATTAGAAATGACAGAAATGAAGGTTTTCCTACTTAAAGATCTGTTTAGCCTTCCTATACAATCTCATATGTTCCAATTGGCTTTTGAGTAGTTCACTGCCAAACCAATAGAACACAGACATTAAGTAATAAACATAGTAAGTGACAAAAACACTTTTTCCCATCTTTGAAATGCTGGAGGTTATAATAACACTTGATATGAAATGCCTTGCAGCTTCCATTTAATATTAATTTTCTTTCTTTTTTCTTTTTTGGTGCCTATACATGGTATTCTGTGGCTTGAACTTAGGATCTTGAGCTCTGCCATTTAAGCCATGCCTCCAGTTCCAGCTTTTTGCTTATTAATTGGAATTACAAGTTTCACACTACTGGCCTGCTCTGAACCTGGATCCTCAGATCTCACTCAGCCTCCTGAGTAGTTAGGACTATAGGTGTAGCTTTCTCTATTAGGGAAAAAAAAAGTTGGCATTTGAAAAATTCCTGAGAATAAAAGAAAAAAACACTACTTGTCTCAAAATTTTTAATGGCCTGGGCCAGTTGCTCTGCTTATAATAGATTGCTTTACACGATTAAAAATGATTATCAATAGATTACCTAAATAATGTACATTATCAGCCAAACAATAGTCTGTAACCATAATCTGAACCTATACTATGCAAGCATAGTACGTTGGTATGTTACAGAATAAAAATGCAACATGTTAAGCTGGAAAAAAAAAAAACATTGCTTTAGTATATTCAGAACTACTAGAGGTTTGTAGAGGTGTTTTTTTTTTCTCCTAGAGCCCATTGCTTCAGATTGCTGTGATTCTTGAGTACTTAAGGTTTTTCTTCTCTTTCCTTATTGCTAGCAATCCTGTCCCTTTCTAATCTGATGTTGGCTTGGAGGTATAGTCAGCAACTCATTTAGAATTTTAAGTCAGAAGAAGTAAGCAATGAGGATTGCTCACTAGTTGAGTTATAAATTGATCCAGGGTCTGCTGGAGATTATTAGTAAAAATTTAAAAAATTTTAAAGATACTAATATTTCTCTCATAAGAAACTTATGAGAAATCATGAAAAATCAATAAAAGAGATAAAATGGAAAAATTGAATTAACTACCCACAACCACATACCAAGAAAAGTATTTGAATTAAATGGTGGCAAATGCTTGTAATCCCAGCACATAGGATGTAGAAATAGAAGAATCATGAGTTTGAGGCCACCCTGGGCTATATATGAGACCCTACTTTCAAGAAAAGAAAAAAAATATTTTTGAATATGACATTTTTGCCTTTTTGCTTTACGATTTTTTTAAGTTGTGTTTTTCTTTTTTAAAAAAGTGCTTCCTCCATCCTGGCTGGGAAGGTGGCTCAGTGGTAGAGTGCTTGCCTTGCAGGCATGAGGCCCTGACTGGATTTGATTCCTCAGCACCACATAAGCAGAAAAAGCTGGAAGTGGCTTAAGTGGTAGAGCACTAGCCTTGAGCTGAAGAGCTGAGGGACAGCACCCAGGCTCAGAGTTCAGGCCCCATAACTGAACAAAAAAAAAAAAGTTTCCCTGCTGGGCACTAGCTACTCAAGAATCACGGTTCAAAGCCAGCCTGGGCAGGAAAGTCCATGAGATTCTTATCTCCAATAACTAGCCAGAAAACCAAAATTGGCGCTGTGGCTCAAGTGGTAGAGCATTCATCTTGAGCTGAAGAGCTGAGGGACAGCGCCCAGGCCCAGAGTTCAGGCCCCACAACAACCAAAAAAAAAAAGTTTTCCCTATTCTAGAGGGAGAGGTTATTTTAAGAAAAGTACTTTTTGTCACGTGAATGTAGGTAAGAAAATTACTAGCTACTTGTTTTTGTTTCTGTTTTTTATATTACTAATGAGTTTTAGCACCATCAGAAAGAATTTCAAGATTTTCTTTTTAGCTTTTTGAAAAATATATTTTGCCATTATGAAAAGATACTGCAATTTAAAAATGAGGCCTTTGCTGGATGCTGGTGGCTCACACCTGTTATCCTACCTACTCAAAAGGCTGAGATCGGAGGATGCAGTTCAAAGCTAGCCTAGGAAGAAATCCAAGAGACTTATTTTTATACCAGTACTGGGAGCTTGGGCACTGTCCATTAACTTTTTTTGGTCAAGGCTAGCACTCTGTCACTTGAGCCACAGCTTTACTTCCAGCTTTTTGGTGGTTAATTTGAGATGAGTTTCGGACTTTGTTGCCCCGGCAGGCTTTGAACTGCAATCATCAGAACTCTCTCACGCGCGCACGCAGGCACGCACGCACACATACACACACACACACACACACCACAGAATATAATAAGGCATGAAGGGTAAAGGATGAATAAGCATTTATCCAAAGAAGATAAACAAATGGCAATCAGCACATCATTAGTCACTAATTAGTCATTAGGGAAATGCAAACCAAAAGTACAATTAAGTCCTACTTTATACATGCTAAGATAATTGTAACATAAAGATAGTAAAGATTATTAAGAAGGATATGGAGAAACTGGCATCCCCATTCACTTCTGGTAGTATTTTAAATGGTACAATCACTGAAAACATTTTGGCAGTTTCTCGAAAAGTAAGGTACAGCCAGTAATGGTATCTCAAGCCTGTAATATAAGTTTGAGAAACAGATAGGGTGCAGTGGAGTGCACCCAGCTACAAAGGAAACAAAGTAAAATTTAAATCCAGGTCGGACCAGGCATAATGTGAGACTTCCTAGGAAACAGTCAATGCAAAAAGAAACTGGCAGGGTGGCTCAAGTGGTAGAGTACCTGCCTCGCAAGCTGGAGACCCTGAGTTCATACCACAGTACCACTACCACAGAAACAAGTACAAAGCTAATATACAGCTCCAACTTTTGCTTATAGCAATATATAGCTATAATAGCTTAGAGAAATGTCTGCATGGAAACATGTATTTGAATGTTCATAACAACCAAAAAAGTAGAAACAATCCAAATGCCTGTAAACTGATGAAGAATGTGGCATGTCCGTCAAAGGGAATATGATTCATCCATAGAAAGAATACGTTTGGACCTTGTTATAGGGATAAACATTGAAAAACTGATAAGGGAATTAACCCAAAAACAATAGGTCACAAGTACATGTTTCACTTATATTTTCCTTTTACGAGAAATATTCAAAATACAAGTCTTAGAAAGTCAGAAAGCAGATAAGTAGTTTTCAGGAGCTGAAGTAGAAGAGGATGTGATTGCCAAAGGACTGTACACTGTAGGGATGTACTTAAGGGTTGGGTGTGGGTTAAATGGTAGAGCACCTGCCAGGCAAGTGCAAAGCCTTGAGCTCAAACCCCAGTACTACTCAAAAAAGGGGAGATACACTCTAACAGAGGTGAATTTTGCAGAATATGACTAAGTGTATGTATGTCCACTTTAATAATATAGTATGTACTATTACAATATTCCTTTGTCACAATAATACATTTGATTTCTCTTGCAGCAACAGAATGGTACAACAAGTTCCAGAAAGCATCAATTTTCCTGCTGAAGAAGAGAAAATCTTGCAGTTCTGGTCCAAATTTGATTGTTTTCAGGAATGCTTAAAGCAGTCAAAGCATAGGCCAAAGTATGTCAATTTGTTTGGTAAATGTGGAGCTCTTAAGAGTAGTGATTTCTAACCAGGCACTGGTGGCTCACATGTATAGGAAGTTGAGAGTTCGAAGCTAGCCTAGGCAGAACAGTTTGTGAGATTCTTATCTCCAATCAACTAGCAAAAATGCCAGAAATAAAAGTATAACTCCAGTGGAAGAGTGCCAGCCTTGAGCAAAAAAGCCAAGCAAGAACATCAAATCCTGAGTGCAAGCCTCAATATAGGCTTGTTATTATAAAGGTGTTATACAGCCAGGTGCTGGTCACTCACACCTGTAATCCTAGCTACTCAGGAGGCTGAGATCTAAGTATCACGGTTCAAAGCCGGCGCAGGCAGAAAAAGTCCATGAGACTCTCCAATAAACCACCAGAAAACCGGAAGTGGCGTTGTGGCTCAAGTGGTAGAGCCCTTGCCTTGAGCTGAAGGACAGCGCCCAGGCCCAGAGTTCAAGCCCCATGACGGACAAAAAAAGGGGGAGGTTGTACAGAGGAAGAGTTGTTATTTCTGAGACTGTTTTTTACTCTATTTTATTAAGAGATAATGTAATAGAGTTTCTAAAATGCCTTCTTACTCACCTTTGTCCTCATCTCCACTCTTACTTAGCACTTAAACCCTAGTGTAAGCCTATAGATGGCCACTATAGTACTAGTCTCCCTTTACCTAATTAATCTGTTTAATCTCTGTTTTCATTCTGTATGTTTTCTGTACAAAAACTTCATAAGATAGGTGTTCATTGCCTTGTTTTACTGATAAAATGAATCAGGGTCAGGATTAATAATTTTCCTTCTGTCATGGGAATAATAGAAGAAATAGTATAGTGGCAACCTCCCCGGCTCTTTCTGGAAGTAGTAACTTTCTGAAAGTAGGACCTGCAATAAATATCTAACCCATTAGGTCCAAATTCCCTCATCTTACTGCTTTTCTTCTTCCTAATACATATTACTGTGATAGGATCTACATATAGAAAAATGTTGTCCTAAATCTTGACTGTATTTTTAAATGGCCTTAATGTATTTTTATTACTTCTTTTAGATTTACCTTCTATGATGGACCTCCTTTTGCAACTGGACTGCCTCACTATGGACATATACTTGCAGGGACAATTAAAGATATAGTTACAAGATATGCTCACCAGAATGGGTTTCATGTTGATCGAAGATTTGGATGGGATTGTCATGGTTTACCTGTGGTAGGTTGAACTCCAACCTTAAGTTACCTGTTGTTGTTTTCATAAGCAATATATTTCATCATGTTCTATGTCAAAGTATGATGAATTTTTAAGTTTCCACACATATATGATAGAAATTTGTGGTCTTCATTACTTTTTTGTTTGTTGTTTTTTTGGCCAGTCCTGGGGCTTGAACTCAAGGCCTGGGCACTGTCCCTGAGCGTCTTTTGCTCAAGGCTAGCACTCTACCACTTGAGCCACAACGCCACTTCTGGCTTTTTCTGTATATGTGGTACTATGGAATCAAATCCAGAACTTAGTGCATACTAGGAAAGCACTCTACCACTAATCCACATTCCCATACCTTTATAGATTTTCTGAGAGTTAGTGTTCTTTTAAAAGTTGTTTACATTGGGCTAAATGCATTTACATACACACTGACTAGGGGAAGAATTCAAAGGCATAACTTTCCTGAACAATTACAGTACTGTTTATCAAAGTGAATACTAGAAAGTTGAATTTGTCTTGGGGTTGGGCAAAAGTGAAGAATGGGAAAACCCAGAAATAAAGGGAAGAAAGGTGAGTAAGTATAGTCATTATATTCAATGTATAGTATGTAAAGGTGAACTATGTAATTTGATGGTAGGGACTAGAGGGAAGGATAAATGAAGGGGTGACATTGACCAAGAAGCATCTTACTCAGGTAACACAGGAAATTATAATCCTTTTGAACAACTACTTAATAACAACAATAATAATACTAAAAAGCTGTTTTATTTTCTAGAGTTGGTTAGTTATAAATACAACTTTATAAGAATATTAACACTCACTGCAACTTTTCAGGAATATGAAATTGATAAGACACTGGGAATCAGAGGACCAGAGGATGTGGCCAAAATGGGGATTGCAGAATATAACCGTCAGTGCCGGGCAATTGTGATGAGATACTCTGCCGAGTGGAGGGTATGTTAAATTATTGTCAGAAAATGTTTTTAAATGGACATTAAAATGCTTTATGGTCCTTTGTACTTTTTATGAGGTCTTCCCAAAAGTATGTTTCTCATGTGTGGTTGTGACACAAGAAGTGTTCACACTCCTTTTTGTATTGTGTATACCAAAGAACAAGGCCTTAGCTTCCACTTATGAGTTTGTTAGCTTCAGCTACATGTTTTCCCCCCTAATTTCTGTGTGCTTAATTAGTCTTCCATATTTAATCTCCTACCTGCTCATAGAATATGACAGGAATTGTGCTTTTCTTACAAATAGATTTATTAGAATGTTCCAGTGCAACAATTCCCATATTTTTAAAAATTCAAGTTTTGACCAGGCCTTGTTTTGTTTTGATGTCTGTTTGTTGAAATCAGAGCCTGAACCTCCAGGCCAAGAACCACTTTCTTTTTTTTTTCTCAAGTTGTTTGCTACTTAATAGTGTTTTATTGGGTGAAGAATTCTCACCCGTCTTTTGGCTTGGGAACAGAACAAAGTTTCGCCTTTCCTCTCTGCTGCTCAGATTACATTTGTAGGCCTGTATGATTTAAAAATAATCTATCTTTTGTTTTCTCCATATTCTTCATCTTAACTTTAAGTACTAACCTGCTCTTGTTCAGAATTTCCTATTCTGCCAATAGTATCATTCCCATAGTCTTTAAACTTAAATCCCTATGATCACATCAAGCATCAAATCTCAGTATCTGGTTGTTTTATACCTACAACCAACTTATTCACTTTCATGTTCTCTTCTAAAACAGTCTCTTCCTCATGCTGTTTAGGAGGTTGAAATCTGAGAATTACAGTTTGAAGCCAGCCTGGGCAGAAAAATCCTTGCCTCTTACCTTTAAAAAGTCAAAATGGAAATCTGGTTCAAGTATTTAGGTGTCAGTCAAACTGCCTTGTACTCTATCCACAGCACTGTTCATCATGCTTCTCTGTTCAGAAACCTTCAGTGGCTTTACTTCACTGAAATATAAAGTCTTATTTCATCTACATGAAAAGTGAGAGCTCAGTTTTCTCCCAGCGTAACTTTATTCCCTAGTCACTAGAAGGGGGAAATCTTATGATGAATATGAGGTAGAGAACTTTGTTTTTTCTCTTTTGTGCTGGCACTGAGGCTTCAACTGAGAGTCTCACATTCTTACTTAGATTTTTTTGCTCAAGACTTAACACCTAACTATTTGAACCAGACATCCACTTTGGTTTTTTGAAGATAAGAGTCATGGATATTTCTGCCCAAGCTGGCTTCAAACTGCCATTCTCAGACCTTAGCCTCTTAAAGAGCTAGGATTATAGATATGAGCCACCAGTGTCTGGCTTAGGACTTTTCTTCTTTTTTCTCTGTTTAAATTTAAAACACACACACACACACACAGATCTTTTCATTTTGAAATAATTTGTATTAAAAAATTACAAACATGGGTTGGGCACCAGTGGCTCATACCTGTAATCCTAGCCGCTCAGAAGGCTTAGATCTGAGGACTGTGATTCAAAGCCAGCCTGGGAAAGAAACTCTGAGACTCTTAAATAAACTACCAAAAAGCCAGAAGTGGAGCTGTGGCTCAAGTGGTAGAACACTACCCTTGAGCAAAAAAAAAGCTCAGGGACAGCACCTAGACCCTGAGTTCTCAAGTCCAAGGACTGGCCAAAAAAAAATCACAAACATGGTCTGAAGCAACTCTTCATCTTTCAAATCTTTGCTCTGTGTGTGTATGTGTGTGTGTGTGTGTGTGTCTGTCTGTCTGTCTGTCTGTCTTTGTGACTGTTTTGCTGGGGACTGAATCAAAGGTCTTATATATGCTAAGCAGGTGCTCTACTACTGAGCTGCACATCAGCTGTTGCTTTATCACTTTTGAAAAGTATAGGCAAATTATTTTACAGAATGCCCCTCATGGTCTAATATTGCATAATAATTCAATTTATGATATTTGGGGCAAGAAACCTCAAAAATGATGTCATTTCCTTTTTCAGTATATCATGTTATGAGACAGGATGGTAACTTTTGTTCACTTTAGGTATAACTTGTCAGTTTTTCTTTGTAAAGTTGTAGTTTTTCCTTTGCAATTAGTAAATATTTTCTAATGAGATTATCTACAAATAGTCTTTTCCTTGTGGTAAGTTCAGTAATCTATTTTTAGCATCCACTGATGATTCTTGGTAGCAATAACAGTTTCTGTGCTGTGTGTCACATAGTGGTTTTGATAGGGTTTATAAATGAATACTTGTAAATGCCAAGAAAAATGGTTTTTTAACATTATATAACATATAATTTAAAAATTTGCCTGAACCATGGTTTGTTCTGATTTCTCAGAATTACATATAATGACAGTAAAAACTAAAAGGCATATTGTTGTATAATAGCAAATATAATTTTCTAATTTTATTCTAATGTTCATATTTTTAAAGTCTACTGTTACCAGACTTGGCCGATGGATTGACTTTGACAATGACTACAAAACTTTGTATCCACAGTTTATGGAGTCTGTCTGGTAGGTTTACTTAAAGTTGTATGTATGTTGAAATTATTTATTGTCTTAGTCAATGGAGAAATGTGCTAAGATCAGTTAGCTTGCTTTCAGGTAGGTATTTGATTTGGAGAAGTATGTTTTATACTTTATAAATGCAATGAAATCCTTCTACCCTTGAGCTATATCCCAGCTTAGTGGAAAAAAAGTTTAACTCACTATGATAGGCAAGTAGGAATCAGAATATGAAGATGCAAACAAAGAATTTAGTAGGGGTTCCCACTAAGTATGTTGTTACTTACCTGCAGAGGTGAGTAGTCAACACTGTTCAACTTTAGGTGAGTATTATTGTTAATCTCTATAGTGTCTTTGTACCCTAAGCTTAAGGCAACCCAACTAAGTGTTCACTAAAAGATTTACCTGATTCTAATCCCAGTGTTTTATACTTTTTACAGTGCTCTTATAAAACTGTCCATTATCACAAAATTTAAACAACACACCAGAAAACTAAAGGGAAAAGACCAACCATAGTTAATATGTTGATAAAACTACTTTTTCAACATCTCCAAAGAAAAATGTAAATTTTTTCACTGATACATACAGCATAGGTTTATATCATTGGTATGTCATTATGCAATATGATCTAACATTTTCCTTTTTCAATAGGAATTGGCAAAGTTGTTTGCATTTGAGGAAATAGATTTTTGGTTATGTAATTATAGAACTTTTTCTCCTAACTTGATAGGTGGGTCTTCAAACAACTGTATGATAAAGGCCTCATTTATAGAGGTGTGAAAGTCATGCCCTTCTCTACCACATGTAATACTCCTCTTTCTAACTTCGAATCACACCAGAATTACAAGGTATGTGAAAGACTAAGCTGCATTAATATATGGAGGTTGAATAATTGTAATCAAGTTAAGTATTCACTGGTATTCCCTGTGTGGAGTGCCAGCCCCAGTCATTGGTCACTATAGTGTTCTGATGTTATTATTATCAATCATGCACAAAAGCACTGTTAAGATAAAAATGAGGGAACCAGCCATCAGTGGCTCACACCTGTAATCCTAGCTACCACAGGAGGCTGAGATCTGAGGATCGTGGTTCAAAGCCAACCCAGGCAGGAAAGCCTGTGAGACTTATCTCCAATTAATCACCAGAAAACCAGAAGTGGTGTTGTAGCTCAAAATGGTAGACAGCCAGCCTTCAGCTAAAAAGCTCAGGGACAGTGCCCAGGCCCTGCGTTCAAGTTCCACAACCAACAAAAAACAAAAAGGGGCTGGGAAGGTGCCTCAGTGGTAGAGTGCTTGCCTTGCAAGCATGAAGCATGATTCCTCAGCACCACATAAGCAGAAAAAGCCGGAAGTGGTAGAGCACTAGCCTTGAGCTGAAGAGCTGAGGAACAGCACCCAGGCCCAGAGTTCAGGCCCCATGACTGGCAAAACATACACACACACACACAAAAAAGTAATTTTTCCCCTCATTGTATTTATATTGTGTCTTATTATAATGAATTTTACTTACTTTGACCATGTTTTTGTGTCTCTTCTTGGGTTAACAAATCCAGCTCTGACCTGTTTTTCCTTTAGTCACCACTTCTTCAGGGTTACTGGTTGGGATGATTTTATGCTTTATCTGCTACCTTATATCAAAGGTGTAGGAAGAATTAAATTTGAGGTACAGAATTATATTATGGTCATTTTTCTTATGAAATGGAGTCACTGGTTATCCATCATTGGTATCATAGAGATGTTGAGACATTAGAATGTTACAGAATTCAGTGCTTTGATTCATCTAGAAAGAAGATAAACACCAAGTTTTCTGAAATATGAAGTCTTCACTGGTGTATATTTAGGAACTAGTCTCATTTTTGCCTTTTTTTTTTTTTTTTTGCCAGCCCTGGAACTTGAACTCAGGGCCTGAGTGGTGATCCTGAGCCAATTGAAGAGAAGAGTCTCATGGGCTTTCCTAATTGGGCTGGCTTCAAACCATGATTCTCAGATTTCAGCCTCCTGAATTTTAGGCATAAGCCATCAGCACCTGGTCATTTTGCCATTTTATCTAACCATCTATTTTTAAATGATAATTGACATTTTCCTTTTTTCCAGTACTGATACTTAAACCCTGGGCCTTGTATTTGCTTGGCTTACTGGTGTTCTACTACTTGAGCCATACCTTCAGCCCACCTTTTAGCTAGTAAATTTTAAGGTGGAATTTTTAATATTAAAAAAACACAAATGAACTGAAATTTATGCATTCTTTTAATAAATATCTGAGGTTTTTGAGGGATATACTTCATTTTTTTAATGATACTATCATTAATATGATTCCTTGTGCTTTTATGCTGGTAACAGTACTTTCATATGCTAGTACTTTCTTTTTTTGTTTTGTTTTTTGTTTTGTTTTGTTTTGTTTTTGGGTCTGGTCATGGGGCCTGAACTCTGGGCCTGGGTGCTGTCCCTCAGCTCTTCAGCTCAACTACCACTTGAGCCAGAGCGCCACTTCCGGCTTTTTTCTTTTTGCTTATGTGGTCCTGAGGAATCGAACCCAGGGCCTCATACATGCAAGGCAAGCGCTCTACCACTGAGCCACCTTCCCAGCCCCTATGCTAGTACTTTCATATTACTGCTAGGGAGCTTTTAGCCTACAAATAGATAAAGTATATTCTTATTGAAAAGGGGTTAAATATGTAGGCAACTGAGTTATAATAGTGAGCCCTTTCATCCTTGCTACAAAGTAAACATTTGTGATACATAAAATTAGATTTTGTTTCCTCCTATATTTTTTTTAGTTTGGTTTTTGGGTTCTTTTGTTGTTGATTATATAGTATTGTTATTTTTGTTTTTTCCGTGCGTGCGCGCGCGCGCGCGCGCGCGTGTGTGTGTGTGTGTGTGTGAGTGACAGGATTTCCCTATATAACCTAAGCTAGCCTCATACTTGAGATTTTTCTGCCTCAGCCTTCTAGCAATCTGCACCACCATGCTCAGCCATAGATTTATTTACTTATTTACTTCACTTTTTTTGTTTTTTTGCCAATCCTAGGGCTTGAACTCAGGAACTGGGCACTGTCCCTGAGCCCCTTTATGCTTATAAGCTAGCACTATACCACTTGAGCCACAGTGCCATTTCCGGCTTTTTCTGCTTATGTGGTACTGAGGAATCAAACCCAGGGCTTCATGCATGCTAGCTAGGCAAGCACTCTACCACTAAGCCACATTCCCAGCCTCACTTAATTATTTTTGTACTGGGACTTGAACTCAGGGCTTCATTCTCTTCCTTGTCCTTTTCATTCAAGGCTTGCACTCTTACCGCTTGAGCCACACATCCTCTTCTCATAGATTTATTTTTGATGTAACTGAATTCTTAATTTGTAGAAGTCTTACTGATTTGAATTAATTTCAAACAGTTATTTCATTGATATAAACCTTTATGGACTTTCTGTAGACTGGACAATTATAGTAGTGAAACCTCTTTTCTTTATTCTACTTAATACATTGCTTTAAAAGTTATCAGGCCATGGGGCTGGGAAGGGGCTCAGTGGTAGAGCGCTTGCCTTGCATGCATGAGGCCCTGGGTTCGATTCCTAAGCATCACATAAGCAAAAAGAAAAAAACCGGAAGTGGCACTGTGGCTCAAGTGGTAGAGCACTAGCCTTGAGCTGAAGAGCTGAGGGACAGCGCCCAGGCCCAGAGTTCAGGCCCCACGACCAGA